CAACACTAAAAATCACAAGAGAAACAGTCGAAGGTTATCTGGGCCTCGGTGACAGTTCAACAGGCTGATGCGTGCACTCTGCACGCAGGGGCTCTGGTCCTTATTCCTAGCACCTCACAGTCCCCAAGCCCAGAGCCATGAATAGCTCCTGAGCACTGCTGGGGGTGGCCCCAAAACAGAACAAACAAAAAAAGGTATTGACAAAAGCCAAGAAAATCAAGAAACAGATTGAATTAAAAACAAAATAAAGTAAAAGTAAAGGCCCTCCCGTTGATCGTCGATTTGCTCGAGCGGGCCCAGTAACGTCTCCATTGGAGACTTTGTTGTTACTGTGTCTGGCATATCGAATACTCTCGGTAGCTTGCCGGGCTCTCCGAGAGGGGCGGAGGAATCGAACTCGGGTCGGCCATGTTGGCTGCGTGCAAGGCAGACGCCCTACCGCTATCGCTCCAGCCCTGCAACAAAAATGTGGTCTATAAATCAAGTCCATGGAGAATGAAAATCATTCAATAAATGATGACTGGAACATTTGACTACCTGACAAAAATAATGAAAGAGGTTCCAAGCCAAAATACGTTCCAATGGTAGAGTTAAATATTAAGTATACCAAGTGGGGGATGTGGGGAGGCACCTCCTATGATTCCCTGAGTTCACCAAGAGTGATCCCTGAGCACAGAGTGGGAAGTAAACCCTGAACACCACCAGGTGTTGCCTTAAATGAAACAAAGTCTCAGGGGGAAAGCACAACTAATTACCTGATTTAAGGTATAGGGAGGATAATCTAAGGAAAATACCAAGGCAAAAAAGTGAGAACTAACTAGATGGAGAGAGAAATAATGAAACTTTTTCATGCAGATTAGAAAAAACTCCGTATCTCAAAAAATGCTATCAACAGAATTAAAGGTTTACAGGAAAGAGGGATATGTATTTCCATTATATATGACAGTCTATGATTAATATTACTAGAATGTAAGCAACACATGAATCTTACAGAAAAAGACAAATGTGTATAGCTTAACAAAAACATGCACACTATAAATCTGATAAAGCAATAGCTGACTGCCTGCAACCAAAAAACTTCAAGCTGATTAACAAAGGGATTTCTTTTCTTTGCAAAATCATAAAGGAAGCTATGTGTGGAGAGCCCGGCAAGCTACCGAGAGTATCTCGCCCTCACGGCAGAGCCTGGCAAGCCACCCGTGATGTATTCGATATGCCAGACACAGTAACAACAAAGTCTCCAATGGCGATGTTACTGGGCCCGCTCGAGTATTTAAGAAATAAACAAATTTAAAAAAACAACTTATGGTACAACACTTAAATTTATGACAAATGCCCAAATTTACAGAAACAAACAAAAAAACCCTTAAATGTTAATGGTATCTAAACCTCAGAAGGCAGTCAATAATTCTCTCAATAATGTATATTCTCTTTACTCACTACTATTTGCTAAGACTTAAGTTAAAAACTGTGACAGGCCTAATATGAAATTAATCACCTTACCTATACCTTGATTAACATTTTATAACTGTGTGAGTTTATTTCTGAACAAAAATAAGAGTGGCTAGGGATGCCTTGTGTGCATGAGAACTAGAGCAGAGGCACAAAGAAGGGAAGAAGGGAGGGAGGTAGAGAGAAGAAAGGGAAAGAAGAGGGGAAGGACAGGAGGCGGAAAGCACGGAAGGAAGGAAGGGAGAAAAGGAGGAAGAGATGAACAGAGGAAAGAAGGGCCGAACGAAAATAAAGATGACTTTTTTTCCCAACCGGGAGAATAAATTTTCAACAGCTTCAGTAAAACCAAACAAAATGGAACAATTTTGTATTTATGGGTGAGTCATTTATCAAATTTTCATTTAAAAATATTATTTAAAGATGAACAATATTTCTATAACAATTTAATAGGAACTCAAAGCTTACATGATATTTTAAAAGTACATGATTGCTCTTCAAGCTATATCTCTTTGAACCTTTCTTGTTTAGAATGATACATATTAACTGTGTACAGTTCATTTGTGGATACTTTCAGATCTCATTCAGTTTGATGGGATAGATTCTAAATTGAAAAAAAGAAAATTTGGTCTATACTCAAGACTACTAAAAACAAATATGCAAAAGTCAAATGGAATGAAAAATTTCAGAGCACAGAATCTACCTTGGGCTCCTTGTAACGAAGATAAATTATATGTCAACTTTGTGAATCACTCACCAAATGTCAGTCAGATCTTACTTTGTTCCGTCCATATTCTCAGTCTATAAAGCTAACAGCTTAGCCATAAGCTGTTGTTGAGACTAAAAACACTGAATGGGACAAGTTAAAATCCTTAGAAAATTCCTACTACCTACTCATCTTAGTTCTTTCTTGAAGGCTCAACTGTAAACCAAATCAACCCTCCTTTTGAGTAAGGCCAAATCACGGTTTGTGCCTATATACGTTATGTGCTGTACTTTGTCTATATCTGCTTCTGTATCTAACACAAGAAGTACAACTTCACTAAGAAAGGTATCTAAGAAAATGTATAATATATTCAACAAAGAGATTCAAGAGATTTTTAAATAGCTTGAATGCATTCTCTGTCTCCCAGCCCTATTTATTTTTAGAGAATTCAAATCAAAATCACAATGAAATACTACTTCACACACTCCGCAGAATAGCTACATGGTTTTTGTGTGGAAAATAACACTAGTGGGCACAAAAAACCGTATTTCAAACATTTTACTTACATTGCTGGTGACATTGTAAATAATGGAGCTGTTTTGGAAAATAGTTTCACAGCTCACTGAAAAGTGAAAGGTAAAATGGTCATCCTACATCAAGCAATAAAGGAATTCAATGCAATCTCTACCAAAATTTCAATGGATCCTTCAAGGAAACAGAATACACATTACTGAATCCAAGGAAACAGAACACACAATACTGAAATAGCCAAAAACAATCCCAAGAAAAATAAACAATATCATGGTATAATGGTCCCCAACTTCAAACTACACTACAAAGCAGTAGCAATCAAAATTGTATGATACTGAAATAAAAAGATTTATGAGTTAATGGAACAGAAATAAACCACACTTGTTGACAGTTTATTTACAACAAAGGTGCCAAGAACTTAAAATGGAGAAAACACTGTTTCTTGAATGAATAGTGCTTGAAAACCTGGATAGTCGCATGCAAAAGAATCAACTAGACCATTACCTCACATCAAATAAAACATTAGTTCAAAGTAGCTTAAAGACTTGAATATAAGACCTGAAGTCTTAGAATACAGAGGAAGACAGACAATACACTCCCCAGGTTTAACTTCAATGATATCTTTGGGGACTCAGTTACAATGGCAAGGGAAAAACAAAATATGGCATATACCTACAATGAAGTATTATTTGAAAATAAAAAAGGAAAGAAATGCTGATATATGCTACAACACTGACTCTCTGAAAAATTATGACAAGTGCACAATGGCAGTCACGTAAAAATTAATAAATTAAAAGAGGCCACATATATATGATGCAGAAAAGGTAACTCCAAAAAGACAGAAAGTAGAATTATGGTTGGCAGGAAATGGGAGGAAGGAAACAGTGATTGCTAATAGGTACAAGGTGATAAAAATGTTTCTGAAATTATATACTGGCAATGAGTATAAATTCTGTGAAAGCACTCCAAAAATAATCACTGTAAGGGCTGGAGCGATAGCACAGCAAGGTAGGGTGTTTGCCTTGCACGCGACCTACCCGGATTCGATTCCCAGCATCCCATATGGTCCCCTGAGCACCGCCAGGAGTAATTCCTGAGTGCAGAGTCAGGAGTAACCCCTGTGAATTGCCAGGTGTGATCCAAAAAACAGAAAAAAAAAAAATCACTGTATTGTACAAAGAATGAATTTTTATGGAATGTAAATATATCTTAAGAAAGAGGTTATTTTAAATAGAATATATATAATGCATAAAAGCATAATTATGAATCAGCACATGAATAATTTCATTGTAATAATACCATGATCCTGATAGGGAAGTCATAAACAAAGGTTTCCCTTGGGAATCTGAAGGTTAACAGTAAAATGGGGAGAACCTATTTGTTATACAACTTAATTCTAGAAAGTAACAGTAGAGGCCCAGTTTCTTCAGGCTTCTTGGGAGCTTTTCCCAAAATACATGACTTATTTGAGAACTAAAAGGAAATCAAAATTCTGCTTTCTACAGTTTTCAAGGCTTTTTCATCTATGCTTGTGTTTCTATTTCCTTTTTATTAAATTTGAATGAGGAACCCAAAAGTACAATCTCTAAACCCTCTTATGCAGTAAGAGTTTGGATTAAAATACTGAGTCAAAAATTATAAAACATCAGAATATTAGAATCAGCAATAGGGGCCTGACATAACTATATTCCCTTCCCTCTTCTTAGTCCACTCCAGTTACTCATATGTTCATTTACTCCAGAAACGCATGTTAGCTAACACCTTTACAGATTTGGGAAAAAAAGAGAGTCAAGTGCTTCAAGATACTTCTTTCAGAAATGTCTGACCCTTAAAAAAAAAAAACTTGTTTCAAATTGCCACACTAACTAAAATTAATAGAAATACCAGACAAACAATAATGAAAAAAATAAGGGTTCTTTACATTATGATCCAACATCAATTTGACTTCAACAGAAAGCAAATACCTTGATATGATTAGAGGAGCATTAAAAAAAAAAAACCTTCAAAATAACTTCACTATCTAAAAATTTGGCTGAAGAGCAGATACAAATCTTAAAATCTTAAATCTCATCATGCAATATCAACAGCACAACCTACCACTATTTTTCAGAGCCCTGAGGTCCACTGACTGGCGGGACGGCCTGGACTCAAATGAATTTCCTCTTTCATATTACCTGGCTGTAATAAGTTTCAGGATTTCATAAATTATGGCCTCAATTCTAGCAAGCTAAGCCAAGGGCTTTGGCAGTGCTGACGGCGCAGAACTCATGGATGGATGTGGATGAGGGACACACTGTCACCTCAGGGGCCATACCTGGTATACACTGTGCCGTGGCCTCTGTGGTGATGGTTGGAGCGACGGGGGGCTGCTGCTGGCTGGAGCTCACTTCTGGCTCGGTGTTGACAGAGGGGGAAAGCGCCACCTCACAGGAGGAGACCTGGCTGGGCAGATGAGGCAGGAACTCTTCAGAAGCAACTTGCTCCTCCTGTCCAGGCAGCTGCAGGGCAGACAGAGGGATGCTGATCTGTTTGTTGGGATGGGACGTGCTCACGGGCATCTGCATGGACACCTGTTGGCTATTGCCGTGGCCAGCAGGGGGTCCTCTATTTGGAGAAGCAAGAGACACCCTGGCAGTCTTTTGGACGATTGGTCTGGACATCACCGATGGGGATGCAGACATGCAATGTGGGTCGAGCTCTGTGCTGATGGCAGATGCTACGTGGGAAATCAACTTAGCAGACCCCACGCAAGAGGGACCAGCATGAGTCTGAGGCTTGGGTTTTGCCATCTGCGTCAACGACAGGGCAGGCCCGTCGACCCCTCCCGTCAGCTCGGCATTTGCCACGATGTAATAGTCTTCTGGAATCTCCTGTTTTATTTTCTTAATGATGACATCATTGCTACAGTCGTCAACCAGCTGAGTCTGGGAGCTGGAATGAAGAGTTGATGGGATTATTCCAGGCCTTTTGCGAGAAATGCTTTGAGGCCTCTGGGTTTGGGGTTCAAAATCACTATCTTCATCCGTGACAGAAGATTCGCAAACCATGTCGAACAGGGTGTTCTCATCCTCATACTCTTCGACGGCCTCGTCCAGTTCGGAGGGCTCACTGCAGTAAGAGAAGTCGCAGGAGTCTCTGGTCCGATTGCAGTCCAGTTTTGCTTTCACTGCTCTCCCAGGGTACCGCTCCACAGGGCTAGTTTGTGTCTCTGAGGGTACCCCGATGATGCTGGGACTATCAGAATTAAAACTTCTATTATCCTGGAAACAGACCCTTTCTTGGGACCCAGCTCTGCAAGTAGCCGTCAGTGGCCAGTGGTAAGCATGGCCAGCGCTACAGCCCCACATTGCTGTGAGGTTCCCATGAGAACCTTCCGAAAGCAAATGTTTCAAGTTTGGAATGAGGCTGCAGATGGTTCCATGGCTGTGGGCCCAGCTGACCAATTTGGATAGATTCTCCGATGAGGTATGAAGGCAATCCTCCATGTTACAGGATCAGCAGTGTCTTCCCTAGGGAAACAATCAGAATAAAAAGTCATTACTATCACCCAGGTCAGTCTCCTATTGCAATGACTTCTATCTCCTTGAGCTCTCTCTGATCCTGTGGCATGAAAAGAAAATGTGGACTGGTAAAGTGATGGGTGTTGGAATACTGTATGGCTGAGACTCTATCAGGAACGACTTTATAACTGTATACCTCACAGTGATTCCATTTAAAAAGAAAATGAGAGGGAGATGAGATCTATCGTACCGGGGCCAGAGAGCTTGCCTTGTGCACCGCCAACCTGGGTTTGATCCCCAGCACCGCAATTGGTCCCCTGAGTACTACCTGGAGAGATCTCTGAATGCAGAACCAGGAGCAAGCCCTAAGCACCGCTGGGGAAAGAAAGTCAACCCCCCCAAAAAAACAATTATCAATACAAAAAGAGGTGAGCTGCTTTTTTGGGGGGTGGCTTTTTTTCAAGAAGTACGCAGGGAGTCTGGGGTCCACTCCATTCCCAGGATATCCAGCCATCTGAGATGAGCAATTCAATGTGTGGGTGTAGCAATGCCCAACTCAGGTGCAGCAGTGCCGGGGGCGTCCTGACTCTGCTTGGGGGTTCACTTAGCTCAGACTCAGGGGACCTTGTGGTGCTAGACAGCAAACTGAGATTCTCTACTCCCATCCTGTGAGCTGCATCCCTCACCAAAAAAAAAAAAAAAAAGGTGATCTTTTTCCTGGTACATTTTGCTTCCAACATCACAGAGAGCCCTTGAGTAACAAAACGGATGACAAACCAAGAGCCTGCCCTTCCAACTTCGCCCTCGTCCGTCAGCAACACCGTGACTAGAGGCAGAGTCCTGGAGCATGGACACTGGCGGAGGGAAGTCAGTCCTCTGCTGGGTATCGGAACAAAAGACACTGGGGAGGCCAAGGAAAGAACACAGACTGTATCTGGAAAGCCAGGGAGCAAAGTCCTAAGCAGAATATTGACAGGGGCTGAGAAAAACTCCTGGAGGACTGGGGTGAGTGGCACAGGTAGGCTGGAAACCAGACATGAGGAAGGGCAGGCTGGGGGTCAGCACGGCCACCAAACCCTTTTTCACTTTTTCTTTTCTTCTTTTTTTTTCTTTTTCTGGGGGATGGGGGGATGGGTGGGGGTGGGGGTGGGAACACCTGGCAGTGTTCAGCGCTTACTCCCAGCTCTGCACTCCGGTGGGCTCCAGGATAAGCCCAGCCCTGGTGGGCTCAGGGGACCATCTGATATGCCAAGGATCGAATCTGGGTCAGCTGCGTGCAAGGCAAATGCTCTACCTGCTGGGCCGTGGCTCTGGCCTCTGCCACCAAAATCTTAAGAGCAGACTCCCTGCCTCTTTGTCATCCGAAATTCCCAAAATACTGCCTTTCACCATGTTATATCTGATGTATTCGACCATCTGGAACTTCTTTACACGCAAGGAAAGACCAAATAGGAGTGAATCGGTTTCCACTGAGCACTGGTCAAAAAGGAATCACTAAGGCTGGAGCAACAGAACAGCAGGTAGGACACTTGGTCCGTGGTATCCCAGGTGATCCTCCAACCCCTGCCAAGAGTGACACCTGAGCGCAGAGCTAGGACTAAGCCTAGAGCACGGCCAGGTATGGCCCCGAAAGCAAAACAAACAGAATCACTGACCAGAGAGAGTTCTCATTCCCAGCACTGCAAGATACTGAGCACTGTCGTGTGGCCCTGAGTGTCGTCACAAGAGGTATCTTCCCTGAAACGCTGGCGGGTGGGTTCCTATTAAATTCCCACTAGTAATGGGATCTCTGGTGGTAAGAGATGACGAAACACAGGAAGTTAATGGTTAGCTGATGTCTGCACATGAGCAGAAAAGTTACAGGACATTCTGTCAAAAGGGAGCTCTGGGAGGAAATGACTCATTTTTTATGTCTCCTCTTCTTTGCAGATTCTTAGCCCTACCGTGGACCTCTAAAAGCTTGTTCTCTGGTATGAAAAGCAAGCTCTCCCCCATCCTTCTTCTGGAAAATGCCTTCCAGATGGAACTCAGGATGGTCTCCTGGCGCCAGGCGTGTGCAGGCAACACAAAAAGGGGTGCTTAGCATGGCTCCAGAGGCAAAAGGACTTAATCCAGAGCCCGGCAGCTTGCGGCAGAAAAGTGAATGGACCACGTGTTACACTACGGCACCATGCCTCCGTGGGAGGGAAAGGGTGTTGCTCTCTTTCGCCTCCCCCTCACCCCCTACCCCCAGCAGCAAGGTGGCCGTCGCCTCAGAGCTTATTGGAAAGCCAGGTATGAGCCGGCGGTGACAGGGCAACTGCAGTCTCATGGGAAGGGGGGACAGTACTGGCTCGTCCTTCACGCCCTACCGAGGTCACGAGTTGCCCCCCACGAGCGGCTCTCTGCCCCCCTCTCATGCCCCCCACGAGTTGTCCCCCACGAGCCATAACACCAGACGCACAGAAACCAATCTCATAATTATTTGGCTCTTTGCAGAAATTCAAAATCGTGGCCGTGTGACATTATATGATTGTCATAACCAGCTATCGAAAACAAAAATATTTCACAATGCCTTTCAGCAATTCTGATTGGGGGAAATTCTAAACAATAACGGTGCATCTTTCGTTGAAATAATGAATGTAATCAATGTAGAGAAGAGTTAAGTAGAAATCATCTGCCTCAAAGGCATTTGGTGGGGTGGGGGGGGTATACTGGGGTTCTTGGGGGTGAAGAATGAGTACTGGGGAAGGGAAAGGTGTTTGATCATTGTATGACCGAGACTTAAACCTGAAAGCTTGGTAACTTTTCCCACAGTGATTCAATAAATAAATATAAGAAGAAGGAAAAAAAGGGGTGTTAGGGGTCTGAGAGATAGCTCAAAGGGTTGGGCCCAGGCTTGATTTCTGGCACTGCAATCGGGAATGGCACCCAAGAACCCAGCTAGGAACAGTTGCTGAGCACTGCTGGGTGTGGCCTCTGCTAAACAATAAAATAAAATAATAAGGGGGAGGTGCTTACACTCTGTTAACACTGAAAGTAAAAAGATGCGTGAAAGCAATGCCCAGGAAGTGCAACTTCTGGAAATCATGACCACCACTGTGCACCCCAGCAAGCCTTATAACCTTAACTTGTGTACCTCAACTAAGCGCAAGCAACGAAGGATGTGCAAACCTCAATGAGCCCCAGAGTTAAAATCATGAGTGCACCATGGGGAGATGAGTGCAACCCTATCATCCATCCAAACAACGAAAGGAAGGGAAAGTGGTGGAGGGGAGAACCATATAATTATAGGATAATTATATATATATAATCATATATAATATATATAATTTTGGGGGGAGGGAGCACATCCAGCGGTTCTCAGGGCTTACTCCTGGCTCTGCACTCAGGAGTGCAGAGCGTGGGCAGGTCATACGTGGTACCAGAGGTCGAGCCCAGGTCAGCCACATCTGTGGCAAGCATTCTGCCTCCTGTACTAGCTCTCTGGCTCCAGAATATATACATGGATTTTTTTTGGCCAAAAAATTATCAGAAAATAAATCAACAAAAGTCCATTTGCAGTGATTGACTGCTATATGATGGCAACCTACGTAAATAAAGAAACTCAAATCATTTAATACACTCAATCTACTATACTGCCTATTCTCATTTACATAACTAAGTTTTCAACTCTGGCATCTAAAATAAATTGCGTTAAATTTTATTTTGTACTTCGGTTTTATTGTAGTAATCATCATATCTTCCTTGTCATAAATGAAGCTCCCCCCACCCCATGCTCTTAGCAGGCATATAACAAATTTATTTTAAATGACTTGGTCCAAAAAACTTAAAAGAATGGCAAGTAGAATTGTCAGAAAATAAATCAGTAAAAGTCAATTTGTGACGATGAATTGCTTTATGTTTTTAACCTTTCTTAATCTAGTAGAGGACAACCAAATGCGCCATTGGTGAGTGCCATGCTTAAAGCCACATGAATCATAAATTTTAAAAAGAGAGGAACTCTGGTTGCTTTGTTTTATGAGCTTTCTTAACCTAGCTGTACAACTGGAATGGCAAATCGCTTCTTTGCCTGCTCAATGTCAGTCTCTCACTCACACAGTTGCACTTGGTGGGGGGAAGGCAGAAAACTGCCCACCTACACATATTTTTCAGATTTCACTGGACCTGGAGTTGCCATATGACAAAGTTCGAGCTGCTGATTATATATAGCTCACAGTCCCTGGAGGGGCTTCTGTGTAAGCTCTCAGCTACAGACTTTGTCTAGCTTTTGCCCCTTTTTGCCTTTTTGTGCCTTGTTCTTCCAAACACATGGGGTCTGAAGTTCCAGAGGCCATCTTGGGAGCACGAAATAATAAATTAAGGATGGAAAGAAGACACAGAAGGAGTCTGAATTCCTGGTGACATCATGAGGCCTTGTCACAAAAGGGAGGAATAAGCCCCTGATCTGGCTTAAGCCACTGGATATTAGATTACATACAGTTGAACTCAATCACTGATGCACAAAAGTAATGTTCATTTGTTTTTAAAAGCTGAAGGCAAAATTCTTCATTATCTTTGCACTATACTCGAGTGCAACTGTTCCACATATTGAACTCCACAAATAAATTCTTGGGAAGTCTACATCAAAATGCTTATAACTGCTTTCAACGTAATCATATGTAATCATAATAAAATATGGTTAATGTAAATTTATTATAAGGCACCTAAACAATCATCTAATATTCAAATATTGCCAAGTAATTCCAGCACCCCTGCCTTTGTTGTAGTTTTCTGTTGTTTGGTTTGGTTTTGGTTCACACTGGGTGGTGCAGGGCTTGGTGGGAACCACAATGTCATGCTGGGGACCAAGCCTGCGGAGCACTTTATGTGCTGTACTATCCTCTGGCAACTAGCACCGTTGCTCTTGTATCTTTACTCACATTACTGTCCACAAGCACCGGAGTGATGAGACTCAACTTTCAAAGTTGTTGGGCAACAAGTTGTCTGTATTGTACATGTTTTGAGATCTAAAACCAGAAACTGCTCTT